TTATACTGGAATTACTACATAATATTATTTTGAACATAATAAACTTTTATTAAATTCAGCAACTGTAAGTTTAAGTCAGGGGGACCATCCACCCTGCGTTGCTCAGGACTGAGGGGTGTCCTGGAATGTGGGACTTTCAGAGCTGAAACCCTGGAGCACCCAGTGCAAACAGGGATGGGTGGTTTCCCCCATTACAACTGAGCATCCCTCCATCTGATTCATTCCGTGTTACATTCCCACACCTGTGCGTGCGAACGCTCCAGTCCATCCACACTTTCCGATGTTAAATACCTGATTTAGGGGGGAATCTCCAATATTCGGCATAACTAGAATTGTCTTTCACTGTTTGCTGTTAAAATATAGCATTTCACATGTTTTTTAACCAGCTCTCTTTTCTTTGTGGGTGTTCAATTAATTTTCTTTGTTTTAGAGTTTATTCTTAATAGTCTTTGCACCTCATTTTTATGTAAAAATTAAAAAGCACTAGCATTATTTTAGACAATTATTAAGTAAAATAATATATATATATCAGAATTAACGTAATTTTTTTAAAATACTGAAGAAAACTCTCTGACATCTGATATAGTACCACATAGCTTATATGTCAGAGCTCAGTGTCCTTCAAATGGGGACAGCACATCTAACCAACTGAATTTTTTGCAGTTGTAAAAAAAATGTGGAAGTTATTTGCATGGAAATATCTCTAAATGTTTGGTTAAGGAAAAGATCCATGCACAATATTGTGTACAGTAGCTGCAGTTTTTGTGAAGTTGGAAGGATACAGGAATATATTACAGTTTTGGCTTATGTATGAAAAAACCAGGGATGGATTCAACATACAAACCTAAATACATACACACATACATGCATAGATACATATATAAATATGTGATTTCTCTGTAAACTGAGTTGGAACTAAAAGAACATACCTGGCTGGACCTGATATTTTTACCCCATAGCTAACTTTTTGAAGATCATTGGATCTTTGAACCATAATTTTGCAGAAACTATTCAAATCTTTTGGTGAATTTACTTAATTTTAAAAAGTTTCCCAAACTGACTTAGTCTGTGTTTGCCCTGAGAATACAGAAATCACTGGGAAAAAAGAGAGGGGCCTCCTGTAAGACATCACGTCATGAATTAATTGTTTTGTTTGCAAACAAAATGTACCCAAACAAACTTAAGTAAAAAGGAAATTCATTGGAAGGATACAGATTTTTGCCCACAGAAAACCAATGCAAGTGTTGAAGGAGTCCTATGGGTGCCAAGGGAAAAGCATTGCAGGGTAGGGAACAGAAGGTGGGAGGAGTGGGAAGAGGGAGGCAAAGAGTTACACAATTTACTCTAAAAATGTTATAAAATGAGGAAACTCTGACAGGCAGCTTTGGAGTGGAGGTATTCTGAGTGCCAAGTCTACATCACATCCCTATTTTATTGAGGGAAAACACTTCTACTTCCTGCCCAGCAGTGTAAAGTGACGTGCAGAGATCTGGCATGTGAGAGGCAACGTTTAAAGGGCAGTAGGATCTCAGAGTATGGAGAAGCCAAGACTGCTTTGAGGATTAATGACTATTCAACAAAATGACTATTCAACAAATTATTGTTAACGTAATCATTACCATCATTATCATCATCATTATTATTATTAGCTGGCTAGAATTTATGAAAAACAAAAATGTTCTCCTTTTTAAATACTTCTTGTTAATTCACTTAGTTCAGTTTTTGTAAGCGGCTACTTATGTAATTTATAAATAAAACTTTATAATAAGGAAAATTTCAAAAAATATAAAAATTAGAGAATAGAACAAGTGATCCCCTTGTTAAACCCATCACTTAGGTTTAAGAATTGTTGATTTATGAGCAATCTTGATTTTCTATCCCCACATGTATCTCATGTACATACAGCAGATTATAAATTTTTAAAAAAATTATTATGCCTTTCTAAGTAATCAAACAAATGTGAACCAAATAATTTTTCCAATTTATTGAGGTATTATTGACAAATAAATACTGTATATATTTAAGGTATACAACAGGTTGATGTGCTATATGTAAACATTGTGAAAAGATTACCACAATGGAGTTAATGAACACATTCTTTACCTCACATAGCTACCCATTCGTTTATTTGTTTGTAATGAGAATAGTTAAGATCCACTCTCTTAGCAAATGCCAGGTGTAGAATACAGTCTCATTAACTATAGTAACCATGCTGTGCATTAGATCCCTAGAATGTGTTCATCTCATACATGAAAGTTTGTACCCTTTGATCAATATCTTCCATTTCACCCACAAACCATTGTTCTACTCGCTGCTTCTATGGGTTTGACTTTTTTAGATTCCACACAAAAGTAAGATCATACAGTATGTCTTTCTGTATTTGGCTGATTCAATTTACAATAATGTCCCCCAGGTTCATCTATGTTGTCATAAAAACCCTTTTTTATGGCAGAATGATATTCAATTGTGTATACATACCACATATTCTTTATCTATTCACCTATAGATGGACACTTAGGTTGTTTCCATATCCTGGCTTTGTGAATTATGCTTCAATGAACATCAAGTGCAGATATCTCTTTGAGATATTGAATTCACATCCTTTGGAGATATACTCAGAAGTGGTACTGCTGGATCATATGGCAATTCTATTTTGAATTTTTTGAGGAACCTCCATACTGTTTACCATAATGGCTGTACCAATTTACATTCCCACCAACAGTGCACAAGGGTTCCCTTTCCTCCCCACCTTCCCCAACACTTATCTCTTGTCTTGTTGATAAGAGCCATTCTAACAGATGTGAGGTGATATCTCATTTTGGTTTTGATTTGCATTTCCCTCGTGATTACTGATGCTGAGCACCTTTTCATATATCCATCGGCCATTTGTATGTCTTCTTTGAAAATATGTCAGTTTAGTTCCTGGGGTGATTTTTCTTAATTGTGTTATTTGTTTTTTGCTATTGAGTTGTATGAGTTCTTTATATAGTTGGATATTAAACTTATATCAGATATGTGGCTTGCAAATATTTTCTCCCATTCCATAGACTGCCTTTTCACTTTGTTGATTGTTTCCCTTGTTGTGCAGAAGCTCTTTAGTTTGATGGAGTCTTATTGGTCTATTGTTGCTTTTGTGTCTGTGCATTTGGTGTCAGATCCAAAAAATCATTGCCAAGACCAATTTCAAGGTGCTTTTTCTCAACATTTTCTTCTAGGATTTTTATGGTTTTGGGTTTTTCATTTAAGTCTGTATCCATTTTTGAGTTAAACTTCGTGTATGCTGTAAGATAAGGTCCAATTTCGATTTTTTGTCTATATATCCGGGTGTCCCAGCACCATTTATTGAGGAGACCATCCTTTCTCCATTATGTTTTCTTGGCACCTTTGTCAAAGATTAGTTGACTATATACTCTTGGGTTTGTTTCTGAGTTCTCTATTCTGTTTCATTGGTCTGTGTACTTGTGTGTATGTCAGTACCAAACGACTTTGATTACTACAGCTTTGTAATGTAGTATGAAATCAGGAAGTGTGATGCTTCCAGCTTTGTTCTTCTTTCTCAAGATTGTTTTGGTTATTTGTGGTCTTTGGTGGTTCTGTATGAATTTTAGGATTTTTGTGTATCTGTCAAAAATGCCACTGGAATTTTGCTAGGAATTGAATTGAAGCTGTAGTTTGCTTTAGGTATTATGGACATTTTAACAATATTCATTCTTCTGATCCATGAACATGAGATATTTTTCCATTTATTTGTGAATTTCTTTCATCAATGTCTTACAGTTTTCAGTGTACAGGAATTTCATGTGCTTAGTTAAATTTATTCCTAAGCATTTTATTATTTTTGACGCTATGCTTAGTGAGATTATTTTATTAATTTCTTTATGGATAGTTCATTCTTAGTGTATAGAAACACAACTGATCTTTTTTGTGTGTGAGGATATCAGCCCTGTGCTAACATCTGCCAATCTTCCTCTTTTTCTTTGCCGAGGAAGACTGACCCTGGGCTAACATCCATGCCCATCTTCCTTCACTTTATATGGGATGCCGCCACAGCATGGCTTGCCAAGCAGTGCGTTGGTGCACGTCCGGGATCCAAACCAGTGAACCCCGGGCTGCCGGAGTGGAGTGCGCGCACTTAACTGCTTGCACCACTGGGCCGGCCCCACACAACTGATCTTTTTATACTTATTTTATATCCTGCAGCTTTACTGAATTCATTTGTTATTTCTAGCATGGCCCCTTGCAGACTCATGTTCTGAGCTTGGAGAATAGTTTCTAGAATTGAGTCATGGGTCAAAGTATATAGGTAATTATTGTGTTCAAGTATGTGGGAAAAGACACTGATGATAAAGATTTACACAGCATCACCCACTAGAAATGCATATGAGGGCTTCTCCGCCATAATCTCCCATCCCCAGGAGAGCTCTGGGCATCAGGGAGGAATCACATACGAAAAAGGAACATAGTGTCCTGCACAGAAGGGGACCTGCCTCCGTGGGTGCCCGTCACCGCCTGCACTGGATCCTGATCACAGAGCAGTTTGATAAGAGACACCACCTCAGTCCTGACCACTGAACAGCCAGGGGAGCTGTGGACAGACTCCTGAGGAGTCTGAGTAGAAAGGTAGGAGGACAGTGGACAGAGCAGTGTAAAGGGAGGAGTAGTTTCTGATGGGCTTTACTCATCATGTCACAGAATGGTGTGTCTGGACCTGGGCACCAGGGGGCGCTCGGGGCTTGTTCATGGGGGTCTGGGGGTGATCAGGGCTAGGACCAGCCACCTGGCACTACGTGGTGCCCTCTGCTCAGGGCTCACAGCATGAACTCCCCACCCCCTGGGCTCCACACAGTCCCACCCCTCCCCACCCATCATCTTCAGGCAGAGGGGCCTGACCCAGGGCCCAAGGAGGAATAAAAAATCTGGGAGTGGGGGGTGGGGGTGGGTTCTCATTTACATAAATGGGCCCTCTCTCTCTGAGTATAAGGAGGGGATGGGAGAGATTTGGGGGAAGCTCTGCTTCAGCTGTGGGGCCACAGATGGCAGGACTGTGTGATGATCTCCACCATGACGTGGTCCCCTATCCTCCTCACCCTCATCACTCTGCATAGGTGACTAGATATGAGGACAGGGGAAAGGGCCCTAAGAAGACACATGGAAACCTACTTTCTCATTTTGGCTCTAGACCCCAGAATCCCCATCTCTGTTTCTCTCCCACTTCCAGGATCCTGGGCCCAGTCAGTGCTGACTCAGCCACCTTCAGTGTCTGGGACCCTGGGCCAGAGGGTCACCATCTCCTGCACTGGAAGCAGCTCTAACATTGGTGGCTATGCTGTGTCCTGGTACCAACAGCTCCCAGGAACAGCCCCCCAAACTCTCATCTATTATGATAATAATAGACCTTCTGGCATCCCCCATCAATTCTCTGGCTCCAAGTCTGACAACTCGGCCTCCCTGACCATCACTGGGCTCCAGGATGAGGACGAGGCTGATTACTACTGTCAGTCCTATGACAGCAGTCTCAATGCTCACACAGTGCTCCAGTCCTGTGGGGAGATGAGACAAAAACCTGCTGTCCCCCAGTGATGGGACTTCCTGTGCAACCTCGACTCCTTGGCCAAGTCAGCTGCTTCCTTTGTTTGTTTGGCTTAAAATGGGTCTGAGACTCTCCCCAGGGAAGATTGTCTAGAACATCTGTCCACTTCTTCTTAAATTCTGCTGCCCAAGCCTGTCCTTGACAGCAACACACTGTATGATTTTCTCAAATTGTGTAGAAATTCCAGAATGCCAGGGACAGGCTGCCCTGGGCACAGAGTCCATGGTGGGTCAGGACAGACCCAGGGACACAGAATCCAGCTGTGTCTGAGTCAGGAGACATCAGGAGTGTCCAATATGTGTCCTGGTACCAACAGCTCCCAGGAATGGGCCCCAAACTCCTCATCTATTATGCGAGTAGTGGACCCTTGGGGTCCCTGATCAATCTCCTGTCTCCAAATATCGCAACTCAGGCTCCTTGACCGTCACTGGGCTGAGGCCTGAGAACAAGGTTGTTTCTCATTGCCACTCCTGTGACAGCAGCCCCAGTGCTCACACAGAGCTCCAGGCCTGCGAGAAATTGAGACCAGAAGTCGCTTCCTCATCTGCCGGGAGGGGAAACCCCCACAGCTGTCTGCTCAGGCTCGGCCTGTGGCTTCTGCTTCCGCTGCTCCTGCTGCAGCCTCCACGGCTCCAGGTTCATCCAGGGGCACCACCTGGGAGTGAAGGCTCCTCCTCCCCCTCTGTCCTCCCAGTCACTCACTGCAGCCCTTTCTAGACAAAGGGTCTCAAAGGAAACAGAAAGTCCATCTCTCCATCAGGGGTGGACACGGTCTCTTTGCACTGAAGCTCAGGGGCTGAGGTGGAGGGCCCACCTGTGGTCATCTCAGACCTGAACTCTGACTAGGGAATCCTGCATCTTCATCTTTGGTCATTTCCCTATTTCCAGGAGTTTCCAGAGCTATGCCATCCACTCATTAGTCCTCAGTATGAATTTCTGTTCTTTTTGCTCATTGGGGAGATTTCTTCTGTCACTTCTGCACCAGCACCAGAGTATCTAAGGCTGTATCATATATTTGGGTCTTTTGGAATGTCTACTTGTCCATCTTCATTAATTCTAGGATCTAACCACTGATTTTTCTTGTTAATTGCATTGTCTAATACTTGCAGAATTATGTTGAATACTAATGGAGTTAGAAGTCCCCTTTGCTTGTTCCTGATCTCTGTGGAAATGTCCTTCTCCCCCAGCCCATTAGCTGAGAAGCTGGCTGTAGGACTAAGTTGTGTGTGTGGTGGGGAGAAAGTGTGTGTTACCATATTATAAGTGTATCTGTCTGTTTCTATTTTTGTGTGCTTTTCATTAAGAAATGTTTTAAATTTGGTCAAAGGCTCTTTCAGGATCTATTGAGATAATATGATTTTACCTGTTGATCTATTAATTTTTGTTGTTGTTGTTGTCAGTGCTGTTGAGTTGATTCTGACTTCTAGTGGCCCTGTGCACGGCAGAACAGAACCCAGCCTGGTCTTTGTGTGCCATCCTCTCATCTTCCAGCGCTATATCAGACAATGCTCTGCTACTATTCATAGGGTTTTCATGGCCATCTTTTAGAAGCGGGTGGCGAGGTTCTTCCTGACATCTTAGTCTAAAAGCTCTGCTAAATCCTGTCCACCATGGGTGACCCTGCTAATATTTGAAATACTGGGGGCATAGCTTTCAGCATCATAGCAAAACACCGCCACCACAGTATGACAACCGACAGACATGTGGCGTGGTTCTCTGACCAGGAAATAAACCCAGGCTGCTGGGATGAGAGCACCAAATCCTTACAACTGGACCACCGGGGCTGCCCTGGTCTATTAACATGATGTATTATATTAAAGGGTGTATCAATATGGAACCCAACTTGTGTATCTGGAACAAATCACATGTGGTAATTGTGCATCAATTTATTAATCTGATTGGAATCACTTTGTTAATATTCTACTTAGAATATTTGCATCCATATTTCACAATATTGGTCTGTAATTTTCTTTTATTCTGTGTTTTTTCAGTTGTAGGTATTACTGTTATACCTGCTTTTTACAAGAATTAGGAAATTTCCATTTTTTTCAACATTTTGAAAAAAAATATACATATGAAGCAAACAAATTAGAACCATCTGATCCCTGAAGGTTTGTTAGAGCTCCCTGTGGAACTAACTGTATCTTATGCCTCTTTGTGAAATAGTTCCACAATAATATTTTCTATTTTTCCTAAGGAAATTGGTCTGCTCTTTTTTTTTCTAGTTAAATCATTTTTATCTTCCTAGAAAAGTAGGCATTTTAACTATTTTTAATTGAGGTCAACACAGATTTTATTTTTCATTTTTTTCACATCATTTCTTATTTTATATATTTTTGCATTATCTATTTTCTTTCAAAAATTTAGTAAGTGGTTGTTCTATTCTGCCATTTAAAAACATGATTTTGATGTGCCAATTAGATCTACTCTTTTTCTACTACCTTCTCATTTATTGATACATTTATTATGATGGGGAGACGTTGTTTCTTATTTATCTTTTTTATTTTCTTGTACATGGCAGAACTCTAAATTTCTCCCTGTTGATTGTTTTTCTCTTTACCATGTGGTTTCCATGAAACTCTTATTCTTTCATTTTTTTTGTTTAATGGACTTTATTTTTTAGAGGTTTTAGGTTTACAGCACATTTGAGGTGAAGGTGCAGAGATTTCCCAATGTTGGGGGCACAGATTCTCTTCTGTTACCACCAGGAGCCAGGGAGCCTCCTCAGTACCTTCCGAGATTCTACCCAGTCTCATGTGAGAACCAGGCTCTGGATCCCAGCTGCTTCTCTGGGTCCAAAGATGCCTCCATGAACTCAGGTTATTTGCTACATTGTAGCCTTCACCCCAAGGATGAAGCTGCTCACTACTGTCAGACATGGGGTGACAGGGCCACTGCTCACAGCTGGGAAGTGAGGCCAACCCCTCTGCTTGTGCTGCCTGGGACCTCACTAAGCCCTCACTGCTGGTGACAACAGCCAACAGTGGGGTCACATTCCAGTCATTTATGCCCCACTGCTGAGACTCTGCAACCCTGCCGTGGAGCCATCACAGAGAACGCCCTCACTATCGCTAATAGGACATTCTGAGCCTTTTCATCACTACACGGGCAGCAGCTCCTTGTTCAGGACACAGAATCACTCTAGGATGACAATAATGAGGATAATTTGGACTCTTACATGACACAGGAAATTTATCACCAAAATGGGTCTGTTTGTGGTCAATTAAGAAGAATTAATCAGGGATCCTGTAGGAAATATCTGACAGACTCAAACTATGATAATTTGATGAATATTTAGTAAAGAGATAATTTATGAATTTGTGAGCAGAATGTCTGGAAACCCTGATAGAGAGTGAAAACCATGACCTAGTCACAGTGGGGACCACAGATGTCCCTGCAGGAGGGGGGATGTTGGGGGGGTGAAGCAGGCCAACTGGGGATTCCTCCAGGCTGTGGAGACTCCGCAGGGAGGACACCTGGGGAAGCAATAGTCCAGCCACCCAGTCTTCCCTCTCGAGATGTAGGAAGAGGTATCGGGAGCTGGTTAACCTGCTTGTGGTGCCCAGCTGTGTAATTTAAATACAGGGTTGTGATTCTGTGGCCACCAGAGGGCGCTGTGTGTCTGACAAGTGAGTGGAGACTGGTGTCCACCCCTGCCCCCACCCAGTGTGGGAGAAGGCTGAGCCTGCTCTACTGGGACTGGGAGCAATGATCCCGTCCATGTGTGACTCCTGCATCTGTGGCAGCTCTAACCCCGTGGAGAACCTGGATGCTGATCTTCTCTCAGCCCCTGGGGAAAACCCAGGTCATCTCTCCCTTCTCCAAGAGACCAGAACCATCACACAGACCCGTCACTGGGGGACTGGACATGGAGAATGGCAGCAACATATTTGCATGAATTCACTCCATTCCCAAGAATGAGGGGAAAAAATGAGAGATACTCAGTGTCCCCAGTCCCCATTGTGGACCTTGGGACCCTGTCTTGTGCATGTTTCCTACATGGCTCCATGTCCATCTGTAACATACACTCCATGTGAGAACACTGCCTGCTATGCAAGTGCAGCTCAGAGAGGAGTTCCTGCCCTCACTTGCAATGAGGTGGCCGCCCACCCAGCCCCCATACCATGTGGAATCCAGAACTGTCACCTGCTCCCACCATGAAGACCTAAGCAGCAGCTGCAGAGTCGTCACAATTAAGGTCCATGCCCTAGTGATCAGAGGTCAGAGGGCAGGTGAGGACAAGGGTCTTCTGATGGGAAGGGGGCTTCGGGGTGTCCTGAGAGAAGGAAGGATGAGGAACTCTCCCAAATTGGAAAGCACAAGGTGGATGACAGAGGATGGGTGTCTGAGCTCACAGAGGCGTCTCTGAGCTGAGACTGGACTGCACTCGACTGGATCCGTCTTCTCTGTGCCTTTCCAGCTTCCTCAAGCCCTCAGCCATTCATTCAACCACATTCTGCTGGTTCCAGACAGCTCCTGTAGAGGGGCAGTGGCTTTGTGTGGGGAACCCACAATGAACCAGGCAGAGGGGGTCCTTTCTCACTGCCACAGATGCTCCTCCCTCTCCTGCTCTTCCTTGATTCACCTTCTCTGCCTCTCCGGGGGAACATTGGATCTCCTACCCATCAGGGTAATTTACCTATTTCTCCCCACTGTAATATGCCCATCATTCTCAGAGGACAGTGAGCAAATCCCACCTTTACTTAGGATTCCATGAGGAACCCATCTCTACTTTTGTCAGCAAGAGCCCTGCCCTGGACCACATTCTGCTCTGCCCTCCTAAGAATCTGTTCCTCTTTTCTATTCTCAACTTCTATTTCTCACAACTACCTTTGTCCAGGACCAGAAGCAGAGCCTGGGACACGTATGTGGAGTAGACGAGTGGACACCGACAACCACCTCATATAGAGAAGGTGCAACATCCAAGAGATCAGTGTTGTGTGGATCATCCATGTGTCTCCCAAGAGTCCTCATTCATTTCCTTCCTCATTCAGGGAGCTCAGAGGTGGGCAGACACACACATCTGGGAGAGGACTGATGGTCTTTACAACCTTCTCAACTAAGGATTCACTTAGATGGTCCCCATCCTCCCTCAACATAAATTGTCCTCTGGTGAACAGCATGAGATTTGTCTTTGCACATATCATATCCTCACTTATTTGTTTAATCTGTGTCATTTTAGATGTTAACCAACATATCAAATTGCCTTCCTGTGTTTGAAAATTATGCATTTTATGAATCTCTGACTCTTCCTATAGAGGATAAATACCCAATAATTTCTATAACATGTAAAAGTATCATTGAAAGTGTTTCAGTGAAGGAGCACATGAATCAATAAATAAAATAATACATATCTGGGAGTGATTTATAATCAGAAGCTTATAGGATAATAAGTCCAAAAGTCAGGTGAAAATATAAAATAGAACAGGAATAAATTGAGTGGAATACATTTTTAGTCTCCCCACCTCCAAGGAATTCAACAGCCTGAGGAGGGTGTGAAAGCTGTGGGAGTTCTCTCTTAGCGTTATTGATCTTCTCAGAGAAAGAGGAGTCGGGGTCAGATGAGGAGGTGGGAGGAGGTGTTAGGGGCCTGAGGAGAGAGTGTGAGCCTGTCACCTAGCAGAGAGGGGCCTGTGGGAGATGAGGGAGCTGAGGCCTCTCCCAGGGGCCAAACCCTGAGACACTGGGAAGCTAAAAGAAGGTGCTCTGTTATCAGTCCTGACAGCACACTGGTTTAGGCATATAAAAGGGTGGTGTTCCTTCCTGACCCTTCATATTACATTGTCACCTGGCCCCAATCAGAGAATAGATGCTTTTAAGATATGTATTTCACAAATAACTACACAAGTTCTTAAAAAATTGACGGTTTTCTCAAACTGAAAATACAAAAAGAAGCTTTATGCTTTTGTTTCCCCCGTAAGTAGTGGAGGCAGCCCTGGTTCCATTTTTGTTCTGTAACTCATCAGACGCACAAAGTCTGCCATTTGTGATGCTCGTTTTCTTGCTGATGGGTTGCAGAGCTTCCCTCTCACATTCCCACCTGCTTCATCACTTGTGACCCTTCTGTTCCAAAAGCGAAAACAAGCTCTTATCACTGTGTAGTCATTGGTCTGTGTGAGGTCCAGCATCTGCCTCCTTCAAGATCTCCCCCAGGGGACATCAGGGTGACGCTGGGGCAGGAAGAGAGAGGAAGCTGATTTGCATGAAGCACCTTCTCCTAATGGGTCTGGGAGGCATGAAAAGGCCCCGAGGACACCACAGTCCAGCCCAGGAGCCTGAGGAGGCTGCTTCCTAAGAGGGACCCCACCATGTCCTGGACAGTGCTTCTTGTCAGGCTCCTCGCTTACGGCCCAGGTCAGGGGAAGGGACTCCGCATCCTTGAGGGGCACATGAAAGCAGGGTCTCAGGCTGAGCCTTGTCATCTATAACAATATCTGTCTCTCTCCTGTTGGTTTTAGGGGTGGATTCTCAGACTGTGGTGACCCAGGAGCCATCACTGTCAGTGTCTCCAGGAGGGACGGTCACACTCACCTGTGGCCTGAGCTCTGGGTCAGTCTCTTCCAGTAACTACCCTGGCTGGTTCCAGCAGCCCCAGGCCAGGCTCCCCGCATGCTTATCTATAGCACAAGCAGCCGTGCCTCTGGGGTCCCTAATCGCTTCTCTGGATCCATCTCTGGGAACAAAGCCGCCCTCACCATCACAGGGGCCCAGGCTGAGGACGAGGCCGACTATTACTGTGCTCTGTATACAGGTAGTTACACTTACACAGTGATGTAAAGACATGGGGAAGTGCAACAAAAACCTACTCAGATGCTCAGACTGGCTCAGCCCTTCAAGGCAGGAGAGACAGTGAGAGGGTGGAGACGGAAACACCACCATGGGGAGGGAGGTCCATGGCCCCGTCCTCCTACCCAGTGGTTCATCGCCATGAGCCTCCTCCAGCCTCTGCCAGGGTGTGTCCATCCCTCTAGTGTGACTCCTCCAAGACTTTCCTTCCTCTCTCCCTCTCTGCCTGTAACGATGGGGAGGAGGCTCAGCTCCAAAATACATCAACCAACAGTGAGATTCAGAGACCCCACTACAACCCGTGAGGCTCTTCTTATTCCAAGAGCATTAACAGACATACCCTCTTTCATTAATTTGATGATGGAGAACAACTTCATATTTAACATTTATTCATATATATACATAAGCTTGAGCCATAGCATGTGAGCTGTTCTGCTCCACACACCAGATGCTTATCGTCGTTGCACAATGAGGACCCTGAAGGGAAAGAAGCGTTTGGGAAAGTTCATTTTTTAATGCTGTCGGAGAGATAGCAAATGCTCTCCTGATAGCCCTTTCCCACGCTTTTCAGCTCCTGTGATTTGGGGTATCAGTTAATTAACTATGATAGACTTTTACCTTTTTACTAGTGTAATTTAAAACTTCTCTAAACCTTAATATAAACTCTGTGGTAGATGTTTAATAATTTGTTGATTTGGGGAGGTATTTGCTTTGCTCTCTGTGAAACTGGACAGTCAATTTATACCAGTAACTTGGCTCACAGTAGGGGGCATGGCCCGTGGATGTTTGTGGTGACAGTGACCAGGTCTCAGGCCAGTGCCCCTGACATTATTTCCACCCAGAGCTGAAGTTTGATGAGCAAACAACAGGAGGCGCTGTGGGTCTTTCCCAGGGTCTGAACAGTGGGGCCCTCTGCTGTGTAATCTCCCAAACTCCCCAGCGCTGGGGCATTGGTGCCTTGTTTGCCGATGGGGACCCTGCAGCTGTGTCCTGTCTGGGCTGGGCAGAGTCTCCTGCTCACAGGTCTGTGTCAGGTCCCAGCAGCTACTTCCTCCCTGGACACTCCTCACCTTACCCAGTTCCCAGAACTCACCCATCACTGGAGGGGAGTTGAAAAAGATCTTCTCTGTGATTTGGAAAAGCAAAGAAACAAACGAAACTGGATTGAAAACCTGGCTCTTTCAGATAGCAGCTATGTGTCATGGTCATGCTGCTGCATTGCTCTGTGTGTCTGATTTACTGCCCAGACAGGTGCCATCACGTACCCTCCTCACCCACCTGGAGGGGAGAGGACATGGGATGAGGAAGCCAGAGCAGTGAATGCAGATCTGGGCACAGAACAGCAACAAGGATGGTCAGTGCTGCCACCTGCTCCAGGTCCCCTGCACGACCACTTGGCTCTCACGTCAGCCCTAGTCCAGGGTGGATGGAGGGGAAGCTGAGGGAGAGATAAGGGGCTTCCTGTGATCAGATGCACACAGGGCGTTGGACACAGTGGAGAGAGCACTGGAGGATCCTCTTTGAAAGGAGAGATGAGCAGAGTCTGGGCACTTGTGCAGATATTGATGAGGTCCTCACATAACCCGCTGTCTCCCAGAGGAACCCTGTCTGGGGCAAGAAGAGAGGAAGCCCAGCAGATCCTGTCATCTGTGAGAAACAGTCACTGTCTCCTCCACAAACTATATCTTCAGTGTCCCTGGGTACCTGGCCTTGATCTGTGTGAGGAGGGGAGGTGGGTGTTTAAAGCAGGAAGGACTGGCAGCTTCATAAGGACTGTGAGTTTTACTTTTGAGAGAGATGGAACATTCTGGGACCACATCAGTGAGGTTTCTTTTGGGATTCCCAGCTTCTAAGTGGTTAGGTAGAACTAGAAGCTTAAATCAGATTTCCACTATGTCTTATTTATTGCTTTTGCATAAATTCCTATGCAAAAGTTATCTAACCCCTACTGAGGGCCTGTTGTGTGCAAAACGTACCGCTAAGTAGTGGACATTCTACCTAACCATCAGTCTTCACTAGCAGCTTTGAGGTCAGAATAATTAATATTTCCTCCAACTTACTGAAGTGGAAATTTAGGCTAGAGAGATGAAACAAGGTACTCAGGGTTATCCCACCAGTAATGACAAAACTACCTCTTGACTTAACCCTTAACTGATGCCCAAGTCCCCATTTTACCAGAACATAATTGCCTCTCACAAATAAATAATGAAAATAAATCAGTGGAATCAATGACATAGCAAAAATTGCAAATGTTTTATTACATTGAGTGTTTATAATTAATCTTTCCAGCTGGCCTCATAAATCATGAGTTACAGACACCCAGAAGTCACAGTCTGCAGGTGCTGTGGAAGGTTCTAGTCCGTCCCAGTGAAACCCAGGGCCAGACTCAGTCAAGATGCTGCTGACTGAGGAGGCAGGAGAGATCCCCTGTCCCCTCCTGAGGTGGCCTTGGCCGGCCTTCAACCCTGGTGAGGGAGACAGGCGTGGGTTTGAGAAGCCCCTTAGTCTACACTCCCGTCCAAGGAGCCGACCACGAATAGTCTGGGGGCAGGAGAGACGGGAGACCGGGCGGCAATGGCGGTGGGGGCTGCAGGGCACGCTGGGGTCAGCACTGACCACTGGTGGAGAGGGACGAGTGGCCACTTCTGGAGGTGACAACAGGCGGCGGTGGAGGGCAGTGTTCGGGGTGGTGGGGCGTCAGCGGCTCTCACTCAACAAGGATCAGCAGCAAGTTCCGGGGGCGCTCCGTGCACGTGGCAGAGCCGCAGGGCCAGCAGTCCAGGCGACTGCCAGGGACAGTGCCAGGAGGTGTCTTCTGGCCCCGCCCCAGACCCAGCCCCGCCCCGAGGTCACGTGTGCGCCAGGCCCCGCGCCCGCACGCCCCAGCCCGGACCCCGCCCCTGGCTCCCCCTCATTCTCTGACTCCTGCGGACCAGGATGCGGTGACGTTGGGAGATCCAGAGGTGTGGGTGCGCAGGGTGAGTCAGAGGTGGGCGGTGGGCAGCAGATGGCTGCGGGGCCCAGGTAGGGGTGGGTGAGCTGCTGGTTATGAGCCGGGTTCGCTGGGGCGCAGACAACGAGGGGGGCTTCGCAGGCTTTCAGGGAGCGGGCGCCTTTTGTGGGGACCCCCATTCCTCACCCACCCTCTCCCCCCCAGGTCCCTGCCGTCCTCAGCCTTGCTTAGACCCTAGGGTTCAAGGCAAGTGGCTCCGTGGGGGCGGGGGCAGGGTTTTGCGCAGATCAGTCTCGCTGGGGTCTGGGGTGAGGGGTGGTCTAGGGCCGGCTCTTTGCGCAGGGTTCCCCAGGATCCTAGAGGATGCTTCACACCCTGAATATATGGAGGAGCCTCTGGTATTTTCCAGAACCAACTAGAACCCCTGGGATGTTTCTAGGGATGCAGATGCCACAGGTGGGGGTTGGGTAAGGCTCTGACTCATGATGGGTGACCCCACCCCCACCCCCGCTCCAGCACCACCATCCCCCTTAGTGGGTAGAGGCCACCATGGTGTGCACTTGGAAAGCGTCGGGCCCTCAGGTCTTCCAGTCCCCCCACTCACGCTCTGCCAGCCAGAGGAGGGTGCCCTGTTGGTCCTACTTCTCTCTGCACTGCTCTCGGTTAAACTCCCTGGGGAGGAAAAAAAAAGCTAACAAATTCTCGCTGAAGGAGAAACGTTTAGCCTAATTAGTGTTTAGGCTTCTCATTGAGAACTCATTTATCAAAATCATCTGGGCAAGCTTGATGGAGGGAGAGAAGGCATCTAGAGTTTGGGCAGGTGGGATTCAGAGAGAGCAGTGAGCAGGGGCGGGGGGAGAGGGGGGGCTCTCCACCTTAGGTTGAGGCACCCTCTGCACAGGTGGTTGGCTTCCCTTCTCAGACCAGCAAGGTGGGGGATTTAACCATCTGGCTCAGACCCTCTGCAGGGGAGATAATTGTGCTTCTCTTGATGCCCCAGGAACCCCCACCCTATTACTGGGTTCTCTGAAGCCGGGACCCTGACTGCTGGTCTGTGTCACCCCCTCACCCACCCCAAGCATGGCCTCTGCTGTGAAGGTGCTGGGTCAGGCCAGGCCCTTGGGTGGCTGCATGGCCCCGAAGGCCCACTTCTACTCCCATGTGGCCTGCAGAGGAGGCTGCCCATCCTGCCTGGGTGCCAGACTACTCCCTTCAGTGGCTGAAGATGGACTTCATCACCGGACTCTCAGTTGGGCTCAAGGTCATTCCCCAGGCACTGGCCTCCGCTAAGGTGGTCTGACTCCCGCCCCAGATGAGATGCCTGCCCCTGCCGCCAGCCACATCCCCTCCCCAGCCCCACTCTGGGCTTCAACTCCCACCCAGAAGCAAAGTAGAAATTCATAGTAGCCCCTGCAGACAAGCAGGGCACCTAGGGTTCCAGCCTCATTGAAACCAAGAAGTCTTGGTTTACAAGCTAGAGAATGTAACTCTGTTTGGGCTGAGACACGCCCCTGTAACTGCTCTTGTCACGCTTGTCACACACAGGCATTGTGCTAGTTCTGGATTCCCTGATGGGGCCAGGGTATGACTCACCGCAGCCTTAAGAACACTTTCTCAGACTCGCAGGCTCACACAGACTGTATGTAATCGCGCAGACTGTACAAAGGCTTTTGTGCTCCTGCAGGAAACCCCTAAGGCCCTGGTTGGGTGCAGGTAGAAAGGAGGTCCCCTGATCACTGCAGGTCACACCCATGGATAATAGAGGGGGAGCGTTTCCCCTGCCTGTGTGCGCTGGTGCCCAAAGTACCCAAAGTACCCGTGCCCAAAGTACACGATGGACACACAGAGCCCTGTGCTCAGACGTCTACATCAGGGACACCGTAGGCGTACCGCCTGCCAACTGGATGCTCATTGCTCTTTCTCCCCAATGGTATGGCCTCTACTCTGCCTTCATGGGTGCTTTGTGTATTTCTTCCTGGTCACCTGGCATGTGACTTCTGGC